AAGGAACTCAATCTAATGCCATAATATGGGTATATAGTAAATGATAAATGGGGTTTCCTTATTGTAGTAATTAAAAAAAAAGTTCCTGGACAGCAGCCCAGTTGTTCAGGTAAGCAGAAGTTGCTCTACGGCAGCCAACTCATCCGTCCCTCCCCCAGTGCATCCGGTTGCAGTCCCCAGTAAGTAGATAGAATATGGGAGTGTATGGGGATCTTATTCTGATGTTGGTCAACTCCATATTCTATCGGCTTTCATTCAGGCAATGTCGATTTGCTGGAGCAAGTCCTGCCACAGCCTGAGGACCCACCGTACGTAATGCGCTTGTCTAGCAGAAAGTCCTTGCAGCTTCAGGACATAACACAGGAGCCAGTCGAGATTCTGCTGGTTCGACAGGCTTTTGGTTGCTTGGGGACATCCCTGTGATCACTTGGTATGGATGACATTCAGCTTGTGCCAGTCTTATGACCTGGACTATTGGCTGGATGAGATCAGCAGCTTGGCCACAGTTTGAACGTAAGTGTTTGACCGCTGCAAGGAAGGTCAGATGATCCAAGGTCTAGGATGTGTCAAAAGCCAATGCTGCAAGACGTAGTCAAGAGGCAAGAGGAGGAAACCGCATGTGGTACTGATGTGTCATTGATTTTATAGTACCACAGGCGGTTATAGTAGATTATAGTATCTTTTTTTTGCATATTATGGTATATGATTGTATATTATAGTATGCTGCTTATGGTGCTGCTCCCAAGATGGACACTCGCAAGGTAGGGACTACAAGCGTTTACGGAAAGCCCCAGAGGACTGACGAACGCTTTGCAGCTGTTGTCACCCGACAGTGCCGTGGGTTTAGGGTTTAGGGTTATGCCTGTACTTGCAAGAGAGTTGTGAAAGACGCATGCTGGAAGGCCAAGAGACTGCTTTCGCTTGAGGAAAGTCTCTCAAAGAGTGCTATCTGCGGGTATCTGCGTGAGTGCTCCTTGTTCAGTAGCTAACAGTCCGATAACTGCAACTGCCCTTGACCATCGCTAATTTGCAAAAAGCTTCATGAGCTGTAGTCTAAACTCCTACAAACAGGGCGCAGGCTCGTTTTGGTCCCTGCATGTGTGCGCGAGGAGGTAAAAGCAGACCGGCATGTGGTTCTGGATGCCATCGAGCAGGATGCTCAGGCTGGTAGGTGACTCTGCAATAATAAAAGCAATAGTACTAGTTGTAGTAATAGTAATGGTAATACTAACAATAATGATAAGAATCAGAATGTGTGCTTGGAGGGGCCATATTTCACCTAAGAATGGCGAACCAGAGCGAAAAGAGCATGGAACATGAACTGGAAACTGGGTTTAAATATGGGCCTATACTGGCACATCACGGGAGAAAGGGGACGTGTGCAAGCACTTCTTTTTTACTGCTGGTCAGTAGCGAATACAGGAATGATTTTGTACATGGACTAGTAGAGGGGGCAAGGAAGGAGCCACCAGAACATGTGTCCCTTCATGTCCTTATGACCAGTACCACGAAGTGCAGTGCTCCTAAACCCTAAACCCTCAACCCTAAACCCTGAAGCCATCCCCTACAGCTGAATCCTCCTTGACAGCATGGAAGGCCATCAAATTTGCCTCTGATGCGCTCAAAGCAGACAGCGTCTCGGATCCTGAGAACTGCCAGGGGGGGTTGATTAAGAAGTTGAAGCCAGGTGCCCTTGTGGACCCTAGAGCTTTTTGGGGATTGTGTAGGGATAAGAGGCGTCTCTAGGAAGAGTAATCTGGGTTGCTGTTAAGGAAGTGAATTAAGTTACCATAATGGGTATATATAGTAAATAATCGGGTTTCCCCAATATAGTAACTTAATTTAAGTTCCTGAACAGCAACCCAGAAGAGTAATATGCCGAGTAAGTTTGCGAGGTCTGCCTGCAGAGCTGAAATGGGCATGATTCTGCTGGGTTTTAGGGTTTAGGGTTTAGGGTTTAGGTACCCTAAAACATCGCTAATGAGCCTTTCAGCGGCCACTTCACACTAAGCCTAAATCCTAAACCTTTAAATCCTAAACCCTAAACCAGTAAACAAACATGAGACCCTAAACCCTAAATCCTAAGTCCTAAACCCCAAACCCTAAAACATCCCATAATGAGCTCCTCCCAAAAGGCCGCCTTTTCGGAAGCTCCTAGCTCGCTTGTCCAGAGCAATTTTCAGTAATGTTGACTGAAGGTATAATGGATATAATGGGTTTACTGGGTATATTGGGATAATGGACCTTAAAATGGAAACTAGTATAGTATAATATGGTTATATTGGAGTTATATAGGCTCACTACCTATGCTCTCTCTCTCTCTCTCTCTCTCTCTCTCTCTCTCTGTATACAAATATATATATATATGTGTCTGTATTTGTGTCTGTGTCTCTGTCTCTGTCTTCCTTTCTCTTTCTCTCTCTCTCTCTCTCTCTTTCTCTCTCTCTCTCGCTCTCTCAATCTTTATTGCCTGGCCTCGGCATTGAGGTGAGCTGGGCAGAGAAAGGGTGGGGCAATCAACCTTAAAACCCTAAACCCTAACCCCCAGGCCAAACCTCCCAAACGACCAGAAAACAGATACAGCGAGAAACCTGTCCCTGATATGAGGGTCCTTAGAAACTAAACACCCCAGTCCTCCGACCTCGCCCGATTACTAGTCTAGCATTATGAATATGGGGGTTTCCCATAATTAGGCCCCCAATAATGGAGAATCAAATGGAAAAGAAAATGGAAAATGAAATGGAAACTGGGAGTATAGGGTAGTTTATAAGGATTAGGGGTTTCCCATAATTAGGGGTACCATTTTGGGGGTCCCAATAATAAGGACTAGAGTATTTTGGGGTCTATATGGGGGTTCCCTTATCTAGGGAAACTACCATATAGGAAACACGACGTTTTCAAGATGCCTACATAAACTGAAGGAGAGGTTGCTATGAGAGCGCTGTCAAAAGATGCAACGATGGTGAACTACATCAATATGGATCTCTGGGAGGATTGATTCTGAGCCAGCAGAAAGCACAGTCGTTGTGGTGTGGGTGGTTTAAAAGAGGGTCTCCCTTGCATACCCCAAAATAAAACCCACAATTTCTGCAAGCACTATGTTTTCTCCTTTCCTGTTGTCAGGTGAAGTCATGATGACGGTAGTCCCGCGATTGACTTCGATGTATCGCAAGCTGTCACCAGAAATCAGGAGCAACCGAGAGCCAGCGCCTCAATCGCAGTCTCGATATAACATCTGCTTCGATACAAGACCCTTCTGCCCGGTGCATGAATGACGGATTCTGCGGTGAGCTGCTAAGATTTAGTTTCAGAAGGCTAGTGCTATTCTTAGAAGCCCATGCGCAGAGTCATTTTACGCAAGCTGGTGTTGCAGCTCGTGCAAAGATTGCGCTTTTCTTCAGAGCTGTTGAATGTCAATACTGCTGAGTAGTCTTGCGTATGAAGTTTGCACGTTCCTTGAAAGCTAAGCCCTAATGACTAAACCCTAAACCCTATATATCCTTGTATAATCCCCTATACAACCCCTTTAAGGACCCTACAGCCCTAAACCGCGTTTAAGCTGACAGTGCGAGGCTGACGATGGAAGTCCTGAAGCGGGAAGGCATCTCAGCATTTCTTGTGGTGGCCATCTATTATCGGGTTTCGGGTTTGGGGGTTAGGCCATGTATTTAAATTGTAGTTTATGTTTGCTTTTCCATTATCGCGTGTATAATTTACAGTATATACACCATGATAATCTAGTAGTTTCCATTTTCTTTTCCGTTATCCCCTACATAATCCCAATATGTACCCTATTATATTGTAGCAGTTTCCACTATGCCTATATAACCCTAAACCCTAAACTCTATAACCCCCAACAGCTCCCAGACATAGTTTGCAGGTGAATGTCTGCGACATGCAACACCCATCTTGCAGGCTGGCGGAAGTGAGCTGTAGTCTAAACTCCTGAAAGGGGGTTATGTAGGGGAGGATATGGAGTTTAGGGTTTAAACTCCTTAAAGGGGGTTACATATAGGCGATTATATAGTTAAGGGTTTAGGGTCTCAATTCCTTAAAGAGGATTATATAGGGGAGTAATATAGGGGCTATTAAGGGGGATACTAGGAGTTTGGACTATAGCTGAAGTGGATAGGTAGTTTCTCGTCTGCTGTGCGGTGCTTCATTCATTCCTTGCCCATGCCTAGCTGAGTCCCTATATGAATTATCCATATTTCGTCCATGAGCATCTTCCTAACCCCTTGCCCATATTGTTATTATTTCCATTTTGTTAACTGTTGCTATTGCTAGTAGTACTATTGCTAGTATTGTTATCGTCATTGCTACCATTGCTATCTGAAAGCCTCAGCTGTATTGCGACCCTGTACTAGTGGTATAAGGTACAATAGGAATATAAGAGGAGCCTTACAAAATACTGATTATCCTGTAGAGTTACCATGACCGGGTAAGGGATCCACCTAAAACCTAAACCTCAAAACCCTAAACCCTAAAACCCTACGGCCCTACAACCCAAAACCCAAAACCCTAAACCCTAAAACCCTAAACCCTAAACCGGAAATCGCAAATCTTACGCCTTAAATCACTTGAAACAGGCAGACCGAGAGCTCGCTCTTCTCGCAGCCAGGACCATTGGGTAATGCCGTGTCTGCCCAGAAGCACATGATGAGGGATTTAGGGTTTAGGATTTAGGGTTTAGGGTTTAGGATTTAGGGCTTAGGGTTTCGGATATTACCCAGTAATGGAGAATCCCGTGGAGAAGAACATGGGAAATTCAGTGGAAACTGGGATTATCTAGGATTGATGAGTGTTCCCGAAATCAGGGGTACATCTTCAAGGCTCCCCAAGAAAAGGATATAGATATAGTATATAGTATTTTTTTGGTCTATATTGGAGTCCTGCTTCTATATAGGGAAGCTGACATATAATGAGCAAGTTGCGTCCTTGAGGCAGACATGAGACATGCACAGATGTTAGAGCCGAAAGGCCAGTGCTAGTCCGGGCAGGCATGTCTCTGAGAAGTACAAGCACAACTTGCTGAGATCCTTAGCTGCAGTAGCAGGGCGGGACTTAAGAGACTCCGGTTCCAGCCGCTGATCCCAGAGGCAGTCAAGCCCTTCCAGGTAAGGCGATGCAGGGTTTCAAGACAGTCCGGGCGTCATCCGCGTCACCCACAACATCACAGGGATAGGTTCTAAAATAATTTGTAATGTTTACTACCCTTAATCCCTATATAGTCCTTATAAAGCCACGAAAATTGATTTTCCTAGGGCCCCCAAACCTACCCTAGATCAGCTGTCTTCGAAAAGAGATCAAAAAAGTATATGGGTGCTTGTCAAAATTATGGTCCCTTTTTGGATCCCTATTATAATACGGCACCTAATATTTAGGGTGCCCAAAAAGGGACCATAATTTTGACAACCACCCATATCGACAGCTCCAGGCTTTTTGAGATAACTTGAGTAAAGCGCTTGGCAGGGTCTTGTGTTTGAGGTGAGGCGGAGTATTTGCACGGTGCTGCACCGAAACTACATCCGCATGTTGTGTGTCAAGGTTGAAAAATCAGGATTATGCTGTAGCTGCTTTGATATTCTGAAGCTGCACAAAAGGGCTCAAGCCTTCGGTCTGAGCATTGGATGCAGCCGGTTGGATCTCACATCCTGTAGCCAGGATCCGCCCTAGGAACGAGGGTTCTCTGAAGCCCGAGTTTGTCGGCAAACATCCAAAAGTGCCACCGGGCTGACAGAAGACGGTGAAGACCTCCTTGCAAGAAAACCTCTTGAGAGCAAGACCTTCTGGTGGGGCTGGGATTCATCGTGAGAAGGATGATTTTAGATAGGTGTACTACATCAACTCTACATAATCCCAGCTTCCATTTTGTAAGGTATAAAGGTTTAAGCATTGCGAATCCTCAGATATTCTTGGGGACCAAGCAGCCGTTCATGTTCAGAGACTGCTTTGCACACAGCCGAAGCCCTGAACCCCAAACCAGACGCTGCGTCCTCGGTTGAAAGTTTTCGACATCGGTCCTTGTTTTGATACCAATGTTGGACGAAAAATGAGGAGGCAAATGGCTAACTAGTCAGCCGATGGCGACAATATACTATAGTAGTTTCCATTTTCTTTTCCATTATCCCAATATTTACCCTTATATATCCCCAATACATACCCTATTATACTATAGTAGTTTCCATTTTCTTTTCCATTATCCCAATATATAACCCCAATATACTATAGTAGTATCACCCCAACGATTTGTGGCCTGGCCCTTTAGGCTCTGGGCTCCAAAGTTGTTTTGGATGAGGCATCCAGATCCTGAGGCTGGGGCCCCCACCCCTTGCAATTTTTTCGGGATTTGACAGGTTGTATTGGGGGACCTAAGCCCTAAACCCTAAACCACCGGCAGTCGGAGTAGAAGCTCTTTCGGATCTTGTCTCCTGCAAGCGGCTTGGCCGGGGTAGGCCCCCTAACACCCACACCCCCGTTTTTGGCTGCGGGCTGCGAGATTCCACGTCCCCCGTCAATCCAACACGTTCCCAAAGGCGGCGGAAATTCCTAGTGGAATCCTCGATAATGACCGCCCATGATTTACGACCCCAAACGTATCCTAGCGTCCTTGGTTTGTTTAGGAGCATTTTTTGTGGGAAGCTCGCATGTGGCGCTCGCTGGAAAATTTTCAACGGTTCGTTCAGTCGGTTCTTCGGCGCTTGGGATCTGACACGGGAGTTGACACAAGCCTTAATGTGAACCCCAATAGAGTAGTATTTTTGCAAGAAGATGCTCAGCCCCTGATGTGGACGAAGATGTTGTCCTCATTTTGCTCATGGTACACTTTACCAATGATGCCATGGTTTCATTGGGTTCTACTACCCGAAAGCAAAATTCGAACGCCAAACCCTGAACCTTGAATGATATGCCCTGAGCCCTCCAACTACACCGACCGCTTTTTTATTGCCTTCTCTACAGCTACGGTACAGCGGAGTTCATTTCCCCGGAGTTTTTTGTGTAGGTTTCTTTGCCTACCCTTGCCTACAGGCAGACCAGCATTCGTGCAGCCAAAGGTCTCCATAGACTCCATAAACCATAAACCTTAAACCACATAAACCCTGGACCCTAAACCCTAAATAGCGTGCAGGCGTAAAAGGCCGTTGAAAAAAAAACTAGATAGCAGTTTCCATTGTATTTTCCAGTATCCCAATAGAACCCGAAACCACATCCTGAGGCATGGTTGGCGTCGGTTTGCATTCTGACAAGGAACTGGTTGTGGCCTGTGCCGTCCTTGGCTTTTTGACACTTCTGTTCGCCCTAGACGGAGTATTCTGGGATTACACCCCTAAACCCTAAACCCCTAAGCCCTAAACCCTAAACCAAACCCTATCCAAGGCTGGAACCATGGCTCCTAGAATGGGTCTTTAGCCTGTTTGGCGGGACTCTAGCTAGGGGCCTACAAGCGTAAACATAAGGATATATTATATACCGTATGTTATCAGGTGAAGAAAGACCCCAAGGTTCAGAACCCATACCGTGGAACTTCTATTCATGGCCGGCCTGCACCTGGTAAAAAGTTGGGAATAGAACCCCAATATATCCCCTATAATCCCTGTATATACCCTATAATGTCCTCTGGTTTCCATTTTCTTTTCCATTATCCCAATATCCTGGTAAAAAGTTGGGATGCGGTTTAGGGTTTAGTGCCATCATAGAGCAGGGGGTATTTGTTCTTAGGGCGTGGGTGTCTTTGTTAGTAGGAGGAAGGGCTTACTTCCTGCAGGTGGAAGTGGCATCGGGGATGTGGAGCAAATGATTTCTTTCGAGCAAGATGGGTACATTGTTCTTCTGGCTTCCCCAAGAAATGGGCTAACCCAACACCCTAAACCTTACGTCGGCTGTTTTCCTCCTGAAAGGGGGTTGTATAAGGGCTCATGAAGGTGGATACTAGGAGTCTACACGATGGCTCAAATGGTGGGTGAAGATAATGATTGAAGGTGCCGAGAATGGCTGCTCGAAGCTGGAGGAGATCAGGGAGGAGCCGCAGCAGCTTCGGCATTTCCTCCGGAACCGCGTTGATGGCTTTTGGCAGCTTGAGCACTAGCTGTTAATACCCAAGCCATGAGATACGCAAGGACATGCAGGATCGTCAGTATACAATAATAGCAAGAATAGAAATACTAGAAATATCACTAGTAGTAATGGTAGTAATAGTAGTAATAGTAGTAATAGTAGTAATAGTAGTAATAGTAGTAATAGTAGTAATAGTAGCAATAGTAGTAATAGTAGGAATAGCAATAAAAGTAATAATAGTAGTAATAGTAAAAAGTAAAAATAGTAATAATAGTAATACATGTTAGCTGTCAGAACCAACTGCAAAAGCCCCCTACACCCTACACCCTACACTTTCAACTGCACAGCATAGACCTTGAACCGCACGGTCTAACCCTTCATTAGACCCGGTTTAGGGTTTAGGGTTGCACAAGCCTTAAATCCAATACCGCAAAGCCCTGCCGTGCCCTCCCCCTGACAAACACGGAAGCCAACTGGACCAATCAGCTTTCACGTTTGGGTGCGGGAAGGTAATTCCAAAATCACCTTCCCTAGTGACAAGCCCCCAACCCACCCCCCTAACAGCAAATTTTCCACCCAAAATATATTTTTTTATAGATACATATATATATATACACATATATATATATAGTGATCGTATCTTGGCGGGTTTAATGTGATTGCGTTGTTATTAAGGGCAGGGGACGATCCCTAAACTTCCCAAGGTGGCAGATGTTGTCTGGCGTAGCCTATTTGCGCCTCGGCTGTCCTTGGAGCTTCTCACAATACTGGGGGGGGGTGCCGGATTTAGGGTTAAGGGCCTTAAGGACCCATGGTTTAGGGTTTGGGGTTTAGGGCCTTAAGGACCCATGGGTATGGGGGAATTATTTGGAGAGTTTGGGGGTCACTATACAGGATCATGCAGGCATTGGTTTGAGAAACGCCCATGTAGAATCTGGCGTTTCGATCTCCCCCAATGTGGGCCACCAAGTTGGGATGTCGGACTATCTCAAGTTCAAGGGACTAATCGCCTCATACTAACGTTAGCCACCCCCCAGTCCTCATTGAGCATTCCTCATGAGACTTCTCAGGGGTGTTTCGTCACATTATGAGGGGGGAAGGTTATTTTAGGGGGCGGGGTGTATTGTAAAGAATTAGAAGGTCCTCGTTTAGTTTCCACTATGAGCCACTTCGTTAAATCTAGTTCAGATCTAAGACAGCGAAAAAGTAACTAGCCTGATCTACTGTTCAGTTATAGTACTATGAAGTCGAATAAACATCAAATGACAATCTTCTTTAAGCCACTTGAAACCTAATTACAATCTGATTAACATCACCCAAATCTCATTAACATCTAATCAAAACCCATTAAAAACTAATTAGTATCAACTTTCTCCGGTTTAATCAACATCCGTTTGCTTCTGCTTGAAATCATCTGCAAATTCACTCAAAATCAATGAGCATCAACGAAAATCAACTTTGCGAGTTTAGATTAATTCCTGTATATTAACGCGATGTAAAACAGTTAAGCGACCCAGGAAACCCAGGAGATTTGAAGTCCCTATTGTTTTCTTTCGCCACCCTCCCGACCTGAGGATCCTCCCAACATTTTGTCATAGAGATTCTAATGGCCTCTTCTAAAAGTCGTCTTGGCCCTTGTAAGAAAAGGGTTCAGGCAGAACGCCTAATTATCATTATAGTTATTAGTATGAAAGGAGAAGCCTTAGAAGATCAAGTTCGCATCACGAGCACGTTGAAAGTGCGTCCCACACAAAACGAGTTATGTGGCCCCCCGCTTCTGGGGTTTAGGGTTTAGGGTTTAGGGTGAAAGCGGTACAGGAGGCGGTTCTGAAAGAAAGAGCGATCCTTGAGATAATGGCGCGTGTTGGGGTGCCATACTTTGAAACCCTGAACCCTGCAGTAGAAACTCGTCCCAAACCTAAACCGCGCAACATATCTTAAACCAACAGATAAGTCATGTACCGAAAATACCGCAACTTCATCCCAAGGAACCCTAGACCCTAAACCCCAATCCTCACACTCTAACCCCTAATCATTCCTAATCTCTACACCCCAAGCCTGAACGCTAAACGCAAGTCAGTCGAGGCATCACCACCGGATCATCCACCGTGATATCAAGCCGGAGAACTACCTGGTCCCTTCCTGAGCTCCTTGAGGAGAAGTTGAAACTAAACCCTGAGCCCTAAACCCTATTTTCCCCCTTAAGTAGATAGAATATGGGGTGTATGGGGATCTTATTATAATATGCCCAAAGCGATATTCTATGTACTTAAGGCGGACTATAGATCCTAAACTCCAAAGGTCCAGACCAGGGGTGACCACAACTCCCTGAAGCTTGCAGACTTCGGCTTGGCATGCTCCTTCAAAAAAGGCGGCGGCGGACTTCTTTATGTAGGGTTCCGGGGCTAGGGAGTAGGGTTTAGGGATTAGGGTTCAGTGGTTGGTGTTCAGGGATCAGGGTTTAGGCTTCAGGAGTTGAGGTTCAGTGTTAGGGTTTAGGGATTAGGGTTCAGGGGTTAAGGTTTAGGGATTAGAGTTTAGGGATAAGGGCTCGGCTTAGGTTTTTACGCATGGGATTTTACGGACTAAAGCCACATACCTACCTGATGTAACCCAAAACAATGTAGAATCTTGGAAAATGAAATGGGAAAGAGGTTCCTGGGGGTTAGGTTTTGCGACGATCGGGGCCATCTTCATCCGCTTACCAACGCAAGGTCGTCATTATGCATCAGAAGCCTTAGACCCTGAGTACTACACTCTGAGGTGCTCAAACCTACGTCTGAATTCATAAGCTCTGAGCCCTGTAAGCCTGACAGCACTAATTATGCCTTCTAAGGCAAAACACCCAAACAATCCTAAAGCTCCAACCCCCGAACAGTCCCAAGCATCCCTAAACCCTAAGCCCTAAACCCCATACTCCCAAGCCCCAATCCCTGACGGCTTGAACCTTTATCCCTTATCCTTCAGTCAGAACCCCCGAAGCCCTACAGCTGAAACCCTAAACCCTAAGTTGGGTCATGATTGAACATAATGTGTGCTGATTGGGTACTAAGACCCTGTAACGAACATGGGATTCTACTTTTCAAAGGTAATTCAATGTGGAACCAGTCAACCCGAAGCCCTATGCGCGAAAAGCCGGCAGAGGGAGGAGTCAGCTAAACCCTGCATGCAAAAACTGAAGCCCTACACCCTACACCCTAAGCCCTGAGCCCTAAACCTTAAACCGTAGACCCTAAGCCCCAAGCTCTGATGCCTACACCCGCTTCGTCGGCAGGGGGAGGAGTCACCATCAATCATGATGGCACCATTTCGCCGAGCAGGCCTCCCATAAAGGTTTAGGCATCTAGGGTTTAGGGTTTGGGTTTAGGGTTCAGGGTTCAGGGTTTGGGGTTTAGGGTTTGGGGTTTAGGGTTAGGGCACCCGCCATGGGAGGGGGGCGGGTCTGCGGGGGTTTCGGAGGGTTCTGAACGCTGGATAGCCTCGACGAATTTTAACAACATGGACCAGAGGCCTTGTCTCGTCCCCTGGCCGTAAAGACTTCTGAAACCCTACTCGTCTTGCGGAGATGTCCAACATGTTGGAGGTTGTTCATTGGTCCTAGAACCCAAAGCCCCAGATCCAAATCCACAATGTAGACGCGGTTTTTGGTTAGGGTTTAGGGCGCGCGGTTCCAGTCTCTTGAACACAAGCCCCCCATATCCTGACCCATGAGAATCAGAAACACTTTTACTTCGAAGGCAAGCCTCCGCACTACCCCAAGTCTGTTGGTTTAAGGATGATGGGTTTAGGGCTTAAGGTTGAGGGTTTAGGGTAGCCCTAAACCCTAGACGTTGAAGCCTACGCTTCAGTACCCCAAGGTCCAGGAAGTTACAGCGTTCGTCAACTGCACCTGGTGGCGGATTGCGATCCATGCAGGCGGGACAGCCCGAAAGCCAGGCTGCCCAAACCCTAAAGCCTAAAACCCCCAAATCCTGAACCTCTAGAGCCCCAAGCTTGAAACCTCCAAACCTTGAAACCCCAAAACCCCCCAAACCCTTGATACCCTAAAGCCCCAAACCCCCAAACTCTGAAACCAGTAAACCCCCCAAACCCTGGTATCCGAAAGATTAAAGCCCTCAAGCCCTGAAACCCTACACCCTGAAACCCTAAAGCCTAAAACCCGAAACCGCTTGGGGTTTTGGAGCCGAGGGCTGGGAGCCCTTGACCTTCAGCTAGGGAGTTGAGGGCTCATGTACCCCCATTATTAATGAACCCTCCTTTTAGGATATTTAGGGGGTTATATAGGGACATATAGGGCTAATGGAAAAGAAAAATGGAAATTAGGGTTTAGGCTTCAGGGTCCATGAGTAATGAACCCGCTCCTTTTAAAGGGTTTTAATATTCGTATCCTTATCATAATCCTTGTTAAGGGGAAGGGGTGTATTAATCCGGGGTCTGGGTTAGTAATCAGGGTCTTGGGTGATCTTAGACTGCTTGTTCAAACACAGGGTAGGGTACCTCAAGCAAGGGTTAAAACATTATTCAGGCTTTACATTAGGGTCCGGAGTTTGCGATTTAGGGTGTGGGTCTCCAAACCCTGAATAGTGTGTATGGGCATAGGCTGTAAGTCTAAATTCTAGAGTCTTCTTGTTAGTGCGTGAGACCCTGAACCCTAAGCCCTTGCGGGTTTGGAATGGAGACCTTTTCGCAAGGTATAGACTTGTTGATCAGAAGGTACTCAACCCAACGCCGTTTCCCATAATCCCTAAAGCCTGAAGTCTGGGCCAGATTTTTTTGAGTCACATTCTTGGTCGTTGCTTTGGGACTTGAGATGGCCCGGCTTTAGGATTGCAGAGGGTTTCAGGATATAGCCCAGGCTGTAAAACGCCCTGGATCAGAATGGTTCTTCACTTTGTTTTGGGTATAGTATAGGATCCGCGAGAAGTATCAAAAGTGTAGTCATCAACTGGGAGTGTAGTTCGGGGTATGGGATTTGAGGTTTAGGGTTTAGGGTCTCGGGTCCAGTTGAGGAGCCGCCAGGTATTGCTGTTACTATTCTTCTTGTTTGCCCTCGTTCGCGCTAACCCTGCAGCCTTGCAGCAAGCACCGCATACTAAAGCCTCTTATTTCGATTAAGCTCCAAATCTTACACTATACATGACACACTAGACATGAACCCTAAACCACCACAAAGCCAAAGCCAAACTGTGAAGCTTCAAGAATCTTGTGTCCAAGTATTCGGGGTTGTAATACTAGCCCCCCCCAGATTTGGACTTTTGTTCCGCCATATTCCGCCTGTCCTCGTTTGCTCTTTAGACCCTGTGGGGGCTGCCTTTGGCGGAGAATAGAACTGTAATCCCTCAATTAGAGTCCCTAAACCCTGAATTCTAAACTCGAAATTCCTAAACCGCAAGTAGAGTTCCCTTTGCCAGCTGCCCGGCGAGAGCTACTTGCCCCCTTGGGCAAATCGAAGTCAATACGAGCTGGGCTCCCAGCAGTGTGACTTGAGGTTTAGGGTTTAGGGTCTAAGGTTTAGGGTTTCCGGCTTTGGGCTTCAGATTTAGCGTTTAAGGATGCTTAAGGCTGTGGGCGTAGGGCTTGGGGTTTAGGGTTCAGGGTTTAGGGGTTGGCGTTTAGGGTCTCGGCTTAGGGTTTAGGGCTCAGGGTTTCCGATGGCGCCACCCCACTTCCAGGGATCTGTGGGTGGCGGCACGTCCTGCGCCCAGCGAACCTCGTGGACATAATTCAATTACCCATCGAAACTGGGCCCGGTTGAAATTCCCCACCAGCTGTGAGACATCACCAGCTACCAGCCAAATTTGTTTCCCATTAGGGTTGAAGGCTACGTCCTCAGTTCCCGCCTCAAGATCATCTTAGCTCCCAATGTAGCGGGAGGAGCACGGAGGGGCTCTATACGTCCATTCTCCATAAGCTCCTCCAATCGTCTTAGTTTGACCAGACGGCCCAAGCAGGGCGGGTGGGAACTTAAAGCTTACGGTTTGGGAGGGCCTGGCTTAGGGTTTAGGGTTCAGGGCTTGGGGTTCAGGGTTCAGGGCTCAGGGTTCAGGGCTTGGGGGTACAAGTGGGAACTATTGAGCAACAATGTGTTCTGCTGCATGGTTCTCTTGCAGGCCGTTGGCAACTGTTCTTCAGTTGTTATTATAGGCTTTTCGTGGGTAACCTTATGATTTTGCATACCACCGTCTTGATTCAGGATCTGCGCCGGAGAACAGTCGTTTTGTGGTAAGGTTCCAGTGCTCTTGGATTTTTGGGGACTTCGAAGATGGGAGTTTCTCCGAAACAAAGGAGATCCCCAAAGTGGCCTCTATATATATATATATATTTTTTTTTTCTTAAATGAAGAATTTGTTGCTAGGGCCAATCAGGGCCTCTGGTTTTGAGAAAATCCCATTTGTTTCCTTCATTCGTTCGTTGTGCTGGCGGAAAAGCTGTAGCATAGATGAAAGTACATGGTACAAATCAACGAATTTCATGTTGTGGAACGTGGCAGTAGTCGTTTAAATGACATGTCAAGCGTGCCGGATCATAGTCGTCCAGGGCATGATACCGTTGGTGGAGATTAGATGTAGCGTTTCAGCTTTTTTCCATTTCTGCAAACCCCAAAACGAACACGGAAACCTCATATCCCCCTTTTTGAAAGGACAGTGTTTCGGCTCCGTTTCCTTGTGTTTCCATGCTAGTTTGTGAGAGGATAATCTTTCAAAGGGGGGTGAGCTTATCCCTGGGTCGAATATTGTTTTCTTCAATTCAGTTTAGGGTTTAGGGTTTAGGGTTTGTATTGGCATAGGTTGGATGGTTTTGGGCTCATGAATATGAATGGTGGTATGATAGGAATGTATTGGGGGGGGGCTTAACAATATTTTGATGTTCCTTCATGATTGCCATTAGTGCTTGAAGCCAGGGTGCCGCACCCACTTCGTTGCAATTGGATAAAATGTATAATTCAGCTGTATATAGCCCTTAAAAAAGACCTCTAACATAGATTGTTACAGGGTGGTGGCAGTACCCAACCTAAACCTTCAGTGTAAGCCATTTGACGCTGAGCCATGAAGTCTGGTCGCCGAAACGCTAAACCGCAAACCTTAAACCTTACAGCCTAATTCTCAAACCTTAAACCTTAAACTTCAAACCGTGCTCCGGCCTAAGGTGTACCTGTAATCCGAATTACCCCCATTCCAGGATTTGGGGTTTAGGGTTTGGGGCTTTCGAGTTTAGGATCTAGGGGTTTAGGGGTTTAGGGTTTTGGGTTATTACGCCCAATAATGGAGAACCAGATGGAAAGTAAGAAATGACAGTGCCTTGCACAGTCAATACAGTGTAGGTCCCGCATTTTTTAGTGTCTTGGAATGATAACACTGTAGGAATAATAGTCATACTTGTAATAGTACCATTGATAGTCACAATACTAGTAAGAGATACCATAGTAAGAATAAGAATAAAGATATGAATTGCGGATCGCGTGAACACATGGGGAGGGGACGAAGTTTGAGTTGGAGGTTTGGGCCTGCAGGTTTAGCATCTAGGGTCTAAGGCCAAGCACATGGTGACCAAGAACACATAAAGTGTAGCAGGATATTGATACATTTATGAATTTATGAGACACAAATCTCTTGAAGTGTGTTTAGGAGGTGGGATCTAGACGCATTTTTCCCCAAGGATGAGGCCTTTTGGGGAAAGATTGGGGTATAACTTACCGTAATAAAAGAGCAGAGAGCAAGGCTTCATCAAGCTTCTGTGCGCTGGTGTGGCGGTGAGAGATCGGGAACTCTGTGCGTGAGAGATTCTTGCCATCACAACCCTTACGCCCCCCCCTATCCTAAACCCTAAACCTTAAAGAGACCCCTGATTTTTTTGGAGCCTCCAGATGGACCAAGGCTGGTTACAACGCAGCAGCCGCCAAACTGGGCTGGGCACCTCGTCTCCTAGAATGGTAGTTTGAGGGCTTAAGGTTTAGGATCTGGAGTGTAGGGTCTAGGGCTTAAGGTTTAGGAATTGGGCTCAAGGATTTGGTGGTCTAGGACTTAGGTTCAGGACCTAGGTTTGAGAGTTTGGGGCCCAGTGCTCGGCCGGACAAGCGCCATGTGGATGGTGCAGCATCCCAAGACCAGACATCCTAAACATCAAACCCTAAACCCTAAACCTAAATCCTACACCCTAAACCCTAAAGCCCTAAACTCTAAACCCTAAACCTTAAACGCCAAACCCTAAACCCCAAACCCCAAACCCTAAACTCTAAACCCTTAACCCTAAACCCTAAACTCTAAACCCTAAACCATCAACGTCAGTGTGCAGACGAGGAACGGCTTTGCTGCCACGGGCCACAAGACTGGGTCTGGAACCTCAGATACTTGGAGGTCCTGGGTAAGTATAACCTCCTTGAGCAGATAAAATGTGGGGTTTTATAGGGGTTCTATAGGGGTAATGGAAAAGAGCATGGAAACTATTATTTAGGATTTGGGGTTTATGCTATTTACTGATTGTAGTTAGAACCTGATTATGAGTCCCCTGTCCAGAATTACCCTAGATATGACTGGTTTATATGAACAGTTACGGCATATGTCATGAATTACCCTTGGACCTCCAAGTAGGTGTGCTGAACGGGTTTGGGGTGTGTTTTTTGGGGTTAAGGGTTGGGTAGGATTCAAAGTGGAGGGTTTAGGTTTTAGGATTTGGGATTTTATTCCCTGAGCCCTAAGCTTTTAGGGTTTGGTGTTGGTTTGGGGGTTCAAACACCGCGCGGCAGCATGGTGTGCCCTGAATGTTAGTGGTTTCTATCATGCTGATGGGATTTAGGGTTTAGGGTTCAGGTGTCCCCAACCCCCCAAAGAGCAACCCCCTGACCATGGCCTTGATTCTTATGGAGTCCTCGTTACAGTGCTTCTCAACATCTCCTTGTTGTTCGATTAGTCCCCTAAAGTCCTAAACCCTAAACCGGTTATCAAAATTTCCTTTTCTGGCAGAAGCTTGGGGGAGTGAGGAGAAGGGGGATGATTCAAATTATGCAGACAGGTCCTTGCTTGGTAGCCCTATGACCTTGACCACAAGCGCGTATAAACCCTAAACCTAAACCTTAAACCCTCAAGCTCACAATCATTCAAAATTGTACAGGGCTACGAGTAGAAAGCAGAACACAAAACCCCACCCGAAACTCGCACAACTCCACATACAACTGCGGACCAGAACCCTATACAAGTTTTATAGAACCTAAGCCCGCAATCCTCCAAGCCAAAGCCCCAACCTCGAGCTTTAGAATCCTGAAATCTCAAAGCCCCATGCCTAAACCCGGAGCTCAAAATCCCAAAGCCCTTCACCCTCAATCCTAGACGATGTAAACCATAAACCTTAAACCCTAAACCGTAAACCATAA